ATCGAAAGGAAGATTGTACCCGATGAATTCCGAGTTTATCATGTGTGCTTATAGGCTAAGTTGGTATTTATGATATTTGATTAATTTTTTAATTTTAATAATTTAATTTATTTATTTTTAGTAAGATAGTTGGTGGATCATGTTTAATATCTATAAAAAAAATTCTTCTAATTTATTTGGAAATTTTTTTATATTCAAATAGTATTGTTTGAAAAAAAAACAATTATAATTTAAAAAAATACTCTAAAATAGATATGCATTCTTTTTTGAGAAAAACTAAACCTTCTTTTGAAGGATCCTTAGTGTGCGAAATACCAATGACATGAAAAGAATAAAAAATTAGTATTTGGTTGAACTCTTAAAGATAATAAATATAATAATTTACTAGATTTACATATGCTTGGATTTAATATTAACTAGATCTAAATATGATGAGTATAATAATTTACCTAATTTGTTTGTATCTAAACTTAGTATTTGATGTCTAATAATTCTACAAACCCACATATATAATAAATGTTCGCATGCCATATATAATAAATGTAGATACATATGCCAGGCATTAAGCCCATAAATGAGAGGTTATTATTTTTTCCCTGATGATTCTTCTGAAGGCATATTCAAATAAAAACAATAAATATTGATACATGAATATTAAATTAAGTATATATTATAAATAGGAAAATTACAAGAATATTACAGGTGTTAGCTCACATCAATTCATTGCACGTTACTATTTTTTATTTGAATTTAAAAAGAGATTATGAGAAACATTGTTTTTTAATGAATACGCCAATTTGTTCGTTGAAGATCAATTTAAAAGACCGTTAAAAACGAAAATTAATCTCAAGAAAGTTTTTAACTTAAAAAAAAGGTGGTTAGAGCATCCTAGATTTGTGTCCTGCCATGCACGACGGGCCGGTCAATATTTTTTTTTAATATAAACAAATTGCTAAGAATTTTTTTTTTAAACTTGAATCATTAGTATTTTAAATAATATGAAAAAATATAAAAATAATAAATAAACTAACAGAAAAATAATAAAAAAAACCTAACATTAGTTCATTTGAAGCATTAAAAAATCTTGTGTTAAAAAAAAACCTAAACAAAATAATAAAAAACATCAACAAAAAAAGTCTAGTTAAATTAAGTTGATTTGTAAATTTCATAACCACAAAAATAAAAAATATTAACTCTAAAAAAAGAAGAAGTTGAAGCTCAATCTTTAACCAAATAAAAATATTATAAAACAAAAATAAAAAAAATAATTAAAAACTAAATCCAACCCCACCTAAATCAAGATGTAAAGTTTTAGATCTAATTATTATACTAGAGTAACCCATTTTAAAAAATAAATTAAATAAAATTATAAAAGTTAATTATTAAATAATTTAATATTAAAAGAGAAAAATAATTTTTAAATTAATATGTCTCTATATCACTATTCCCTCAATATACAGTATAAAGATTTTTTGAACAAGAATAATTTTTTTTTTAAAATCACTATTTTAATAAATAATGATTTGTTCTTGTAGCTACAGTAACTTATTATTTCTTCATTAGCTTTTTGTAAATTTTTATGTCACGCAAACCTTCCCTATGCTTTTCATATGTATTGAAAAAGAAAAATATTAAAAATAAAAAAAGCCATAAATGTGACTGCCTATCAACCTAGTAATACACGAATTTTAAGATAAGATATGGAAATAAATTCCCAAGTAGCCTGCCCGCGTATAAGATATGGAAATAAATACTCAAGTGGAGGGTGGGATAACATGAGGAATCCCTAGGAAATGATGAATACAGACAAAAATAGTAAAAAAACCTATACAATATATGAGCCTCACCTCACCCCACCTCACCCATAAGCAGTCTCCACTACAGTAGCCTGCCCACATATCCATTTTCTTGGTTGGATTCTTGACAGGGAATTGGATCAGAAATGGAGTTTCAGGACAACAACAGATCTCATGAAGCTAAGAAGCCGGAGGAGATGAAGATCAAGGAATATGATAAGAGGAAAAAAAAACTCGGAGGCATGAAGGCAATTCCATTCATCCTTGGTGAGTTTGTTCTGGACTTAGCAGATGTTTACATTACCACAGTTAATTAAGTTTGAAACTATGAGCTTAAGTGCTGAAGTTTCTGTTAATTAACCTTCATGTTTTGGCAGTAACTGAAGTATGTGACAGATTTTCTACCATTGGTTTTCATGCCAACATGATAACATACCTTACTCAGCAGCTGAACTTGCCTCTTGTAAAGGCCTCTAATATTGTCTCCAACTTCAACGGAACTGCTAGCTTAACACCCTTGATCGGTGCTTTGATTGCCGACTCATTTGCTGGCCGATTCTGGACCATCGTCGTTGGTTCCATCATCTATGAACTGGTTCATCCCTCTCACTTTCTCGGCATATTTATTTTCTATAATGTTGCAGTACAGATTTCGTATCGCAAGGTCCAGATGATATTATAATTCTAATGCATGTTGACTTACATATCCTGAGCTTTCAATATAATCTTCAGAATCGAATCTTCCTCGAATGTGTCGATATATAGATGTGGTTTTGTTCTCGACGTCGTCATCTCGGGTTTGAATTTAAGGAGTCTTCAAGAAAGAAAATTAGCTTGAATGCACTAGTTCAAATACGGACTATAGAAAGGCTTTTATATGACACAAAGCCCTTGGTCCAAACCAGTTAGTCCTGGGAGCTGAAAACTAATTTGACACTGCAATTGGTTCTCGCAGGGATTGATTAGCATCACCACAACAACACTACTGAAATCACTGCATCCTCCACCTTGTCCATCACTAATGGACTGCAAAGAGGCTTCAAGTTTCCAACTAAGCACCCTCTACTTGTCTCTATTCCTCTTAGCTATTGGCTTGGGTGGCACCAGGCCTTGTGTCATGACCTATGCTGCAGACCAATTGGACATGAGCAAATCAGGTGTCGAGTCTCGAAGCTGGAACTTTTTCAATTGGTACTACTTTAGCTTGGGATTAGCAAGATTAGCTGCAGTGACCATTGTGGTCTACATACAAGATAATGTGAGCTGGGGCTGGGGTCTTGGAATACCAACTATTGCCATGGCTGTAGCTTTCATGGTCTTTCTATCCGGTTCTCCACTTTATAAGAAAGTGAAACCAGGAGGAAGCCCATTGGTCAGAGTAATTCAAGTGATTGTTGCTGCTATAAGGAAGAGAAAAGCTGTGGCGCCAGAAGATCCAAGTCTCTTGTACCAAAACCAAGAACTTGATGCTGCTATATCTGTCCATGGAAGGCTTTTGCACACCACTCAGTTCAAGTAAGCTATGACAAAAATTCACGACGTAGGATAACAAAGGAAGCTGTCCTGGGCCGACGATGTGGTCACTGACCTTAAATTTGCTGCAGAAATATTTCTAAACTGGCCTTTTCACTTTGCAGGTGGCTTGATAAAGCAGCAGTAGAGAACTATGGTGAAGCAACAGATTCCAGTACACCAAATCTGTGGAAGCTAGCTACCGTGCATCGAGTAGAGGAGCTCAAATCCTTTCTCAGATTGCTTCCAGTTTGGGCAGCAGGGATTTTACTCGTCACTGCAAATTCACATAGTGGCAGCTTCAATACACAACAGGCTCGCACCATGGATCGTCGCCTGTCGAATTCCTTCCAAATTCCTCCTGCTAGTATGTCCTTCTTTGGCATCATGACCGTGATCATAGGGCTTGTTCTTTACGAACGCCTCTTCGTGCCCTTTGTGCGTAGATTCACAAGAAATTCTGCAGGCATCACATACCTACAAAGAATGGGCATAGGCCTACTCTTAAACATTCTCTTTTCCGTTGTTGCTGCTTTGGTTGAGAAAAAGAGAAGAACAGTGGCAGAAAATCATAACTTAGTGGATAACCCTAAAGCCACCGTTCCTATAAGTGTATTCTGGCTGGTTCCTCAGCTTTCCCTCCATGGAATGTCAGAAGTCTTCATGGCTGTTGGACAGTTAGAATTTCTATATGATCAATCACCAGAAAGCATGAGAAGTATAGCCTTGGGATTGTTTTGGATAGCAAGTTCTGTTGGAGATTACTTGGGCACATTTATGGTGTCACTGATTCATGAATACACAGGACACAAGAACAATTGGTTGCCTGACAGGAACCTGAACATAGGAAAGTTGGACTATTATTATTGGCTTGTAACTGGTATCCAAGCTGTAAATTTTGTGTATTTTGTGATTTGTGCTTGGTGTTACACTTACAAGCCCTTGGAAGGGGTCATGGAAGAAGATTCTGAAGCACCTGAAGATGGTGCAGAAAGGAATGGGAAGATAGAACTCACTACAGCTGAAAAAGTTTAGTGAAAAGGCCTAATGGATATATTTTTAGCAATACTATGTTGGGCTTTTCATCAAACTTTCATAAGAACCTAAGGGTTCATGTAGATATCCAAATTTGGAAACCCATTTAGATATCCAAGCTAATCTCCCTTCCTTAATGGTTTTAATTATGGTCGTATCTAGTTTTCGTGTCTCCTTTTGCAAACAATTCTCAAGAAATTTTCATCCAAATGCACTCACCACTTTAATCAAAATCCAAGTAATTATTATAAGGCCTTGTAAAAATTCAAATTATTTTTATAAAATTTAATTCATTTATATTCTTATTCATTAATTAATCGAAACACTAGTTCATGAATAAACTTGTATATTTAAGGCTTGATCTACAAGTTAAATTTGATTGTCACAAATTTAAAATTTAATATAAAGAGTTATATAAAAACTTGCTACTCGAAATGCTAGAAAAATTTAATTTTAAAAAAATAAATTTTAAATTTTTTATATTTATATTTTGAATCTAATCGATCACAAATCAAATTTTAAAACTTGAACTTAAGTACCATCAATTCAAAACTTACTTAATAAATTTTGAAATTTAGTGGAATGAATCAATTTAAGATATTAGAAAACCTCTATTTTTTTAAATGATTTTGTTTTAAGTGTTTTTTTTTTTTTTAAGAAAATGACTTAGTTTCATGATATCCATTTGTTGAACGAGTCGATTTCGAATGAGTTGTATAACAAGATTCTAATAAAATCGAAACTCTTCATCTTCCCATCCTTTAAATGATGGTTCTCACATGAATCAAAACGGATGTCAGCTGCATCTGGAGCGGGTGTAATAGTGCTTGTAAACCATCCACTCTAAAACCGACCCATTTAGAACAAAACTAACCCATTTAGATATGCAAACAAGTTTTCTAACAATCTTAAAAAATGAGTTATCAAGGGTTTAGCTGAGATATTACACTAAAACCACCTGATTTTTTTCTCCCTCCCTGTTTGGTTTTCGAGAAAACAATAAACAAAATTCTGGAAAACCAAAAACAAAAGAGAAAATTTCACAAATCTGTAGATCCAGGAAAAGAATCACTTCTCTTCTTCTCTGATGACGGAGGTGAGGGTGGCGTGCAACAACAGCAGCGGCGGTGCACAGCTGACACCAGAAGAAGAGAGGGTTTTGATTAGAGACATTGCGATTGCTTCAGAAACTAAGAGTAAAGAAGGCGATAGCTTTTATTTAATCACTCAACGGTAACATTAATTTCTTTATTTTTCTTTCCTCTCTGTGGTTTTTTCGTGTTGAAAGGTTCGTGACTTCAAAAAATCCAGAGTTTTGTGTTTAGAGTGAAAGTGAAGTCTTTTTTTTTTCCCCCTCGTGTCTTGATTTTTTAGAGTGTTAACAAGTTTTTAATGTAAAAATGCAAAATGGGTTTGTTTAGTTTTGAGTTTTTCTACTGTAAAGAAAGGTTTTTAGTTGTCTGAAATCTTTAAAGAATCAATTCTTGTTTTCTGAACTAAGAGACAATTATTGTTCAAGTTTCAAGTGGGAACTAAGTAATTTACCCAGCAATTTTGTTCATTGTGTGTGTGTGTGGTAGAGTACGGAAGTTATTATTATTTTTTTTAACTGAATAATAATGTTGGTGATATTTTTTGTTTTGCTGGTTTATAATAGATGGTGGCAACATTGGATTGATTATGTGAACCAAGACCAGACAAATGTTACTAATGATGGGTCATCCATGTTAGAGAATTGTGATACAGTTAGTTCTTCAAAAAGGCCTGCCAGTATTGATAATTCTGATTTGATATATGATGTGAATTCGGAGGAGTCTAATGTTGGCATTGAGATTCATGACACTTTATTAGAAGGCCGTGATTATGTATTGCTTCCGCAAGAAGTTTGGAACCAGTTGTATTCCTGGTGAGTTGTTTATGAAACTGTGGAAGAATAGAATTTATGACGTTACTTTCTCATTATTTAGCTTTTCTGTTTTGCATTTTTGACACAAGGACCCGTGGTTATAATCTTAATTTTTGATAGGATTTTTATGCTCAATACCATATTCAATAGCTACTTCCAACATGAATAGAGAACATAGGTAGGAGTTTTCTTTATTGCCTTCTCGTCTTCGCAGGCAATAAGGGATCGCTAAATTATATCTTTCAATGGGGGAAATGCTCTTATAAATGTGATAGTATTGTTGGGTACAGGTATGGAGGTGGTCCAGCGTTGGCACGGAAAGTAATCAGTTCAGGTCTTTCTCAGACAGAGTTTGCTGTAGAGGTATATCCTCTCCGTCTTCAGCTACTGGTTATGCCGAAGGGTGATCGTTGTGCAGTAAGAATTAGCAAGAAGGTACAACTTGAGATCTGTCATGTTTTGCTACTTTATTGAGCAGCGTAGTTTGTTGTAACTTGACCCAAGGAGTTGAGGACTCAATTTAGCATTGACTTAACAAAATCTCAAATCTTAACCTTTTAAGTAACTTTGAGAATGTTTCTGCAATCAGTATTGAGTGTGTTTGAGAAAATAAGCTAATTCTTGAAAAGAAAGGGAACCCTTTAAAAGTTATTAAATAGAAGAAAATTGTTAAAAAGTGTCATCACCACAAAGTTGCCCTATCTCATTGTGAAAGTATCACATTAACACTTCCCTAACACTGCTACCCTAAATCTGCCACAAAATTGCGCTCTCTCCATCAAATTCATCATCATGACAACCTCAACAGCTGCCATGCTGGATTGTTTGCAGCCATATCGGCATAAATCTGAAAGTGGTGAAATTGCATCTCTTGTTCACCAATTAAATGCAGTTTCAACCATGAGTTATTAAAACTAACCAGTAACTAGGGCTGCTTTATCAGCTCTAAATGGTGTTTAGAATCTGAATACTACAATTTGAGTGGTGATAGTTTAAAGTTTCAACTGTAAGTTTCTATTTTATGAAATGTTCTCCAAGTATATCTTGTGTTTGCTCATAAAAAACTGAATCATTTTCGCAGGAGACAATTGGAGAGCTTCACAAAAGAGCTTGTGAGATTTTTTATCTGAACTTAGAGCAGGCAAGGGTTGAAAATACCTCAGCTATTTATTTTTACATTTGAAATATAGATTGAAAGTTTCTAGTTTAAAATTTGTTGAACAATTCCTTGTATTCAGTTTCTTATCATGTAGTATTTTTTTTTTCAGGTATGCATTTGGGATTACTATGGCCACCATAAACATGCTCTGATGAATGACATGGATAAAACACTTGATGATGCCAACTTACAGATGGATCAGGATGTAAGTCTTTCTGTACTGTGCAATGGTGTAAATACATGCTACTTTCTTGTTTAAAATTTGAATTTTGTTTTGTTTTATAACGGTATACAGATTCTGGTGGAGGTTCATGAGATTGCAAATGGTACTGCATTGAGTCGTTTTATAAGATCTGCTCAGGACAATGGACCAACTGTGAAGGATGCTAGTTCTTTTCATTTAGAGCCTTCTAAGTCAAGCTTATCAATTGCAGGAGGTTTACCTGCAAGCAAGGGTGCTTCTAGAGGCTACAGTGCAGAGCTATCTCAAAGTCCAAATCTGATATCCCAGGGTCCAAATCTGACATATCAGGGCAGGGAGCTGGATAATGCATGTGGGACCAGTACTGTTACTACAAGGGGGTCTTCTGGTGGCTTGATTGGGTTGCAGAACCTAGGGAACACATGCTTTATGAATAGTGCAATACAATGTCTTGTTCACACATCAGAGTTTGCCGAATATTTTCGAGAGGATTATCATCAAGAAATAAATTGGAAAAACCCACTGGGTATGGTGGTAAGTTTGATTATTGATGAACAATATAAATTATGCTTATTTTCTTCCAAGCATGATTTTGAAACACTTGTTGAATGAAAAGGTACACTGGATAACTAAAATTCTCTTGGTTTTGAGCTTTTTTGATTCCATCTAAATGATATGGTCTTGGAATTGTCTTTGTTGACAAGTATTACAGTTTCTTTCATGCCATGCAAGATCTAACTTCAGATGTAGATTGAGGGACAATTCTTTGTTGGATCGATATAACTGTCTTTTTTTGGAAATACAATCTATTGTTTCTTTCTCAGGTCTTGTTTACATTTATTATTCTTTCTTGAGTTTGTTAATTAGATCTTTTGTGGCACTGATTTGTAGTTTGGTACTTTATGTCAGGTATAAAACTGATAAAACCTTTCATTTGTTACCGTTCACAAGTAGAGCTTGTAATTGATGCTGATGATCAGGCAAGCTGTTGTTATGTCATTTCTAATTGGGTTTCAAAGATCTCAACTAAATTTTAATTCATTATATGTTAATTAATTTAAATTGCAAATTCTTGAATGAAATTACTCAAGCCCCTTTGAAACTTGATCAGTGCAGCAACATAGAATGTTTTTAAGCATACAAACTACTCTTTAAATTACTTAAGAGGAATTATAAAGGGAAATCCGTATGTTTTCGCTCAAAATTTTGTACGTGTATGTGCACTGCAATCTACAAGAATAGGTTTGAAGCTCTTTGTCCAGCCCAGATCTTAGTGTTTGAGCAGTATCTTTATTTGCGTAAATTTTGATGTTCTGAGTCCTTGTTTTTTGATTGTCCAGTACACTTTTCTGGCTTGCTGAAGATATTGCACATCAATGATAATATAAAAGGCTGATTTTAAAAGCTGTAAGGATTCACCCTGGATTGAATTCTTTTTTTCCTGGCCTACTCTACACACAATTGAAATGAACGTAGAAGAGCACATTCCTTGGAAATGAGTTGCAGCCAATCAATAGACCTCTAGGTCAAATCTTGAGATGTGAAGTTCATCTATCATTAAGAATGACTGAATGAAAATTATTTTAACAGATGGATCATATTAGGAGTGATTTTACTGATGGAAGTTTCATTTAGCTATTTTAAGTATTGTAAGTCGTTGAACTTTTCTGTTTATATTCTATTGAATTGAGTTAGCAATTTTGTAGGGTGAGCTTGCTCTTGCATTTGGTGAGTTACTTCGAAGGCTATGGGCACCTGGGCGAACAGCAATTGCTCCTCGACAATTTAAAATGAAGCTGGCTCGATTTGCACCTCAATTTAGTGGGTATAATCAGCACGATTCTCAGGTTCTCAAGGGCAACAAACTTTTCACTAATGGTCTGTGCTGTTGCATTTTGTATGGATTATGTGCAGTTTGTATAAGCTAACTGGTCTGTATTGTTGCAGGAGCTTTTAGCATTTCTTTTAGATGGTCTGCATGAAGATCTGAATCGTGTTAAACATAAGCCATATAAAAAGTCAAAAGATGCTGATGGTCGCCCAGATGAAGAAGTTGCTGATGAATATTGGGCAAGTCATATTGCTCGTAATGATTCTATAATCGTTGATGTGTGCCAGGTGTGTATTATAATGATCATTCAAGCTTGCTTACATCAAATCTTCATTTTTTTGGGTCTTGGATGAACTGACTAGACATATTTAGGATGATGTTGGATGGTGCAAAACTCAAACACACGCACCCACTGCCCACCCACACACGCACTCCAAAAAATAGTGCATGGTTTATTCTTATGAAATAGTTTTGATAACCCTGAAACCAAAATTGGGGGAAACTAGAGATTTAGAGTTATGGAAAAGTACTTTAGAGTACAAGGTTTTATTTAAACATGACTAAAATGGACTGCATGTATTGTAATCCTAGCAACATGAATGGAGGTGCTAGCTTGATTTAAGTAGAGGTGCTTCAGTGTGGTGAAATGAAGAAACATTACTGGAGTATTATGCAAACATGGATCCTGCTTGGTTGAAGGCTGTTTTCTGTATCATTGTGGTGAGGCCTGTAGCTCGATTCTTGATATGGTGATGTATGCTTCATTGTGAAGATGCATTTTGCTATGAAATATACATGCAGGAATATTAAGATGAATGTTTGAAATGGTCAACTAAGAGGTGATTGCAATTTGTAGGAAGAGTGAGAATATTAAGATAATATGCCAAGGCAACCCTCATTGAAGATAGGTTAAGACAGGGCCATATGAGGATGCACTGGTGCAGAAGAGTTATTGCATATAGTGTCATTCCAAAATCCACAAGATCCAAACTTTATTAAATTTTTGTGGAATTCTTTGACATGAAACTTGTTATTCTTGTTTCATATGAAGGATGTGCTGATTGTTATGCTTCTATGTTGACACATTTGCCAAAATTGCTGTCATTCCACTGTTTTTGTAGTTCTGTATTTGTGCTAAAATTGTTGACTGTTTCACTGTTCACAGGGCCAATACAAGTCAACTTTGGTTTGCCCAGAGTGCAATAAAATCTCTGTTACATTTGATCCTTTCATGTACCTCTCTTTGCCACTTCAATCCACCACCACACGTTCTATGACAGTTACGGTTTTTACATGTGATGGAAGTGCCTTGCCATTTGCTTGCACAGTGACTGTTCCGAAACAGGGACGATGCAGGGACTTGATCAATGCACTTGGCTGTGCTTGTTCCTTGAAGAATAGCGAAGAGCTTAAACTTGCTGAGGTTATGACATCGACTGTTGTCACTCATGTTCATAAACTTATGGATGTGCAATTCCTTGGCTTGACCTATTTGAACATGTTGTTCGCAGGTACGGAACCATTTATTTCAAAGGTTTCTAGAAGACCCCTTAATATCCCTCTCCACGATTAAAGATGATGACCACCTAGCTGCCTACAAGATAGCAAAGTCGCTAAAGAAAACACTTCTGCTTAGGTTGATTCATCGCTGTCAGGAACAGTATGTATTATCTATTTGGGTATTCATACCTTGCACCAATTATTGCCTTTGATAGTTTGGAATGCGCTGTACATTACATAGCTTTATATTTTATCAGTTTGTACATGCACATGTATGTGTCTGTATGTTGGATCTCTTATTTATTTTTGGTTGACAGGGAAACAGGTGATACAAAGGCTGCACAGAAGTTGAAACCCTTTGGAATGCCTCTTGTCTCTTTGATCTCACATGATGATATAATTACAAGAGGTGATATACAGCAAGTAGTTCACACAATGCTCTCACCTTTGTTGAGATCTGAAAGTTTGAGACAAGCTGACATTCCTGAGCCTTCCTCGTCATTGGCGGCATCAGATATGTGCCACAACGGCAGTTCTGATGAAGCATGTACTAACCCTGTATCAGATTCAATGAACAAGGATAGTAGTGGTTCCAGGGCAGTAACATTATTCAAACTACCGCTTCAGTTGGTTGAGGAAAGTAATGCATGCATTGATCTGTCCGTGGGAGAAGACAAAACAATTAAATTATCCTCAACATCAACATCAATGTTGGTATATGTTGATTGGTCACAGGAGCTCTTAGAAAAGTATGACATTCATTATTTGGAAAACTTGCCCGAAGTGTTCAAGTATGGAGCTGTGAATAAGAAAGCTCGAGCTGAACCTCTCTCCTTGTACACCTGTCTAGAAGGTTTTCTGCGTGAAGAGCCTTTGGTGCCTGAAGATATGTGGTTAGTGTCTATTCTTCCCCATCATACAAATTTTTAATTCCAATGCTGACCAATCCTTAGTGGATATATCTTTGGTTGACATTTTCCTTGTGCATTTGGATGTCATAGAATTATTTAGCTTTCATGTTGAAGGGAAAGGAGTTGCGCTAAAAGATTAGTGTTGATAAATCTGACACAGGTACTGCCCAAAATGTAAGGAGCGGAGGCAAGCAAGTAAAAAGCTTGACTTATGGAGGCTTCCAGAAGTGTTAGTCATCCATTTGAAGAGGTTTTCCTTTAGCAGATCAATGAAGCATAAACTAGAAACTTTTGTCAATTTTCCTATCCGTGATTTTGATCTGACAAATTACATAGCCAACAAGAACAACACTCAACGTCAACTCTATGAGCTATATGCATTGACCAACCATTATGGTGGCATGGGAAGTGGGCACTACACTGCACATATCAAGGTGAGCATAGAAGGAACTGGCAATAGGTGCATAATTTAGAAGATTGGTGTGCAGCTCATATTATTGGCTAGTATTGACAGTTCATGGACATTTTGGATTTTTGCACGGATAAACTATATAGTATATACATGACCATGGATAGGTGGTTCCCAGTAATTATTGTTCGTTAAAAGCCAAAGAAAGGTTTGAATAGTTGGTACTAATTGTTTGGAGTTAAATAGAATGTTTGGGCATTGAGTCCTTTCTACAACTTATTCATGTGTTTGATAAGTTAGTCTGTTCTTGTCTCTATTTTTTGTGATAGTAAGTTTAGAAGCTACAGCTTGTTGAACATTACTTTATGTCCGATTTCAGCTTCTAGATCTAATATTAGGGCAGTGGGCTATCCATAGATTGGTTCATTTCTTGAACTTAATTCATACCTGTGTTGTGCAGCTTCTGGATGAGAACAGGTGGTACAACTTTGATGACGCTCACATATCACCCATAAATGAAGAAGATGTGAAGTCACCTGCTGCGTATGTTCTCTTTTATCGAAGGGCGAAGACAGGTGATGCCATTAGCAATGGAGAAAATTCTGGTACTGGTCATAACAATGGTTCATCCCTGAAGTGAACTTCTATGGCCATTTCTTCTTGCCAAATAAGCATGGTATGTGGTTTGGGTGCAAAATACAACTTAAAGCAAGCCTTTTGTAATTGAATTCCCATATTTTTAGATAGAGATTCTATAGTTTTTGAAGTTCTTAATGGTATCACCCATTGGAAAAATATCAAGTCATTACTCAATGTGATCATGTAGGTAAGCAATAGTACCTAATATTTGGGTGAAGTTGATTAAGGACGATCCTGATACTGAGAGAGTGCTTTGCTTGCTAGAAAAGGGGCTGAAGTGGGCAACTAAATTCATTTAAATGGCTTATTACCCCCACCCGTACCCCACTGAATCCACCTGCACTCAGATGTTTGTTTGAGGTGGGCCTCAACTTGCTACTGCCTCAGATGGATGAGAAGTAGAAGACAATGTCTTGGTTTCTAGTAAAAATATCAGGACGGCACTGGCTCTTTTTTTTGTTGTTTTTTAGCGAATGGGGGCTTCCTTTTCAGGCTATACTGAAGCACAATTCTACTTTTAAAAGTGAATTGCCAGGGGATGAAATACCTTATCTCATTTTCAACCAAAATAACTCTGAAACAGAAACAGGGGGAGGACCAAGAAAGGGTAAATAGAGTTAGAAGGTCAACATGGCATTCTCAAAGTTTTAAACTATGACATTTTCTAGGTTTTAAGAATAATCAGGGGTAATAATAAGTCACTTAGGGTTTTACCATGCAGCACTTAGGGCAATTGCTATAAAACTATAGCATGCTAGGTAAACTATGCTTCATGTCAACACCTAAGGAGACATATAACCTGGTTTTCCATTTTTTGACAAAGGCATTCAGGGTTAATGGGATTCTCATCATAAAAAGCTAGAACTTGAAATTCTGTATCTATAACTTATTTTTTGGTCATCTCCATATTTGTTGGATCACCAGTAGCCCATAATCTGAATCTCTATGGGGTTACAAAATTATCTTTTGAGATCATTTGTGTGGATCCACTACTCAGTTGTTTTTTTACTTGGATTCCCACGTCCACTGCTTCATACCCATCATGTATTTATGCTCTTGTGCTTAACAATGAATTTTGAGTTAACAGTTAAAGCTGTTTCAGTTTAATATGGAAATTTTCTGATGACGTTGGGTATTGCAGATTCCTAGGCTTTATCCTGTGTTTAACACAAATACTGGTCATGGAGGCATTGAAGTGCACCAAGTGGCAAAGCTAACTCTAGACGGGAGATGTCCTTGCTGGTTCTGAAGGTAGGGGCACCCAACAATTGATAGTTATGTATATCACCAAGCTTTCTGGACTTCAATTTTGTAGACTAATTAAAAGGTCGCAAAAATAGGTCTAGGACAACTTGATTTTTCTGTAGAAAACAGTTAGCATACACCCTCTGTCATTGTGGGGGGGAAAGTACCCGGACGTTCTCTTCCGAGGATGTCTGATTTAGCTGCTATAATTTCTGCTATTCTAGCCAAACCTGTCTTGTTTCTTTAAGTGTTTATCAAGGTAGGTTTGTGTAAAAAGTTAGGGCTGCAATATTATCATGCATTGTCTGCTTGTTTTTTTCGATGGCTATCCTTTATATCTACCGAATCCTATTCACTTACAATTTTTCACTGAGCTTTATGATTTTGTTGCATAAAATCACATTCGAATTGGAAAACCTCGTCTGCAGAGGTGAATCCTCAACTTGAACATTCATCACTGTTTAAGGGTAGATTGCTCAAGTAGAATTTGTATGCAAATGTTTGCAAAGAAAATAAGAGAAAAACAAAATTAACCTCAATCATGAATCTGGAAATGGGAATCTGAAAGAAAATATTTGAAGTGTACTGTTGAGTCACTTGTTATGGGAAGTTATGTGTCATTTGTCATTGGAAGCTTGCAAATAGTTTGGATCTAAAAGGAAAATATAAATTATCTTATTATCATCATCTTTGATCATCCATCATGTATCATATCAATAACCTATTCAACAAGTAAAAAAAAAAACCTATTCAACAATGACATTTTGCTGTGCCATTTAAGAAATGGAATCATGGGCGCTATAGCACCGATATCTGCAGTATCAAAGTTAAAACACTCATCTTTGATGAAGACCCATCTGTGAAGGATTTTGTTTTTATAAGTTAAATCAAGTTTTAATAAGGCTATCAAGTTGTGAATTTAACAGGTAGAATTCGAAAAAAAAAGAAAGAAAAAAAGAAAAACAAATTTAATTTGATTTAAAATAAAAATAAAAATCATGGTCCTGGCTAGTGGACATGATGATGGGTCACCAGGTTTTGTGGTTTTAGTTTGTTCATATGTTTCCCAAGTAGACGTTAAATCTCGAGACCATTTTAAAGAGAATTACATTAATGATAATTACATTATCGTACATTGGCAGCCCTCCTCTTGTTCCACGAGTCCAACATGGAGTGAGTTTAAATATCATATAAAAACATCCAACAATAAATATAAATTCAGCAAATTTGTATGGGTATTATTAAAGCATAGACACCATGGAAGGGAAAACAAATGGACATAGGACTAGCTGCCAGTGTAGTTGACCTAAATACTAGCTTGCCGTGAAGCTGCTTTAAATTATTAATCATGCATGGAGAGATTTTGTCGAGCTCAACCTCATTTCCACTCATCTTTCCTTCACCTTAACCTGCAATCCACCTTTCATCCTTAGTGTCAAGGACAGCAAATGCTCCGGGCACTTTTCCTTGTTCTGCACATCAATCTCAAATCGCTCAATCACTGATGCTGCAATGGATTTCATCTGGATATAGGCCATGTCTTTCCCCAGACACATTCTTGGCCCCGCATGGAATACAGGAAACTTGAATGGACTCTCTTGCCTGTATATTCCATTCTCTAGCCATCTTTCAGGAACAAAATCGCGGCAATTCTTGCCCCAGATACTCTCCATCCTTCCCATGGCATAAGCGTGATATGTTACAAACCATTTCTTTCCCACAAATGTACCGTCTGGCAATACATCATCACTTTGGCAAGCTTTTGTATCCACTGGCACTGGTGGATACAATCTTAATGTCTCTGAAATAGCTGCCTGCAAATAATGCATGTCTCGGAGCTCTTCAAAACTGTAAGTATCACCAAGATTTTTTCCGTTGCTTGACCGAATCGTTTCAAGCTCCTTTAATATGTTCCCTTCTACAGCCGGGTTTAATGATAGTAGCCAAAAGAACCAACTCAAAGCAGAGGATGTCGTGTCTCGGCCTGCCAGTATAAAGCTTATGACAATATCTCTGAGAAATTCCGTTGAATTCTCATCCTTCCCTATAAACCGTGATAGCAAATCTTCATCATTCTTTTCGGTTATTTGCTCCATTCTAGACCGTATCATCTCATCCGCAAATTCATGGACAATTTTAACTGATTCTCTCAATGTCTTCTCTGTCCCAACATTGAAAAATCTGTTAATTTTCCAAAAAACTGGAAGAACATACATGAATCTCCCAGAGCTAAGTGTGGAAGCATCTTCAAACGCACGCATAAACTCACCACCACTGGTCCCATCCCCGCCAAGACAAGCAGGATCAACATTAAAAGCCACTTTGCATATATTATCAAATGCAAACCTTTCCAATATGTCTTGCAAATCCAACACCTGCTTTGTTTTCGAAGCTTGGGCAAGAATCGGAACTAACCTTGTCGAAATTTCAACCTCAACATTATCCATGACAAAATTTCGGAGTGACTTTGTATTGAACTCATAGCTAGCAGTTTTCCTCTGGACTCTCCATAGCTCTCCATCCGAATTAAAGATTCCTCTACCGAGGAAGTCTTCAAGAAGGTTGATAAACCGGTCTCCTTTCGGGTAGTTCTCAAAGTTGGTCTTGAGAATATACTCAACATTCAAAGGGTTTGCAGTGATGATGCCATGGACTTTGCCAGGACGGTGAAAGACAGCAGTGTTGGTGGGGCAGTGACTGAGTGTTTCTGTAGTCCACTCAAGGAACCGGTGTCGATTTCTTATGAATTCCGGTAAGGCCCCTACGATGGGATAAAACTTGAAGCCCTTGTTGGCAGGTTTCTTCTTTGAAGCGAAGAGGGCGTAGAGGTAAAACAAGAGGGAAAGAAAGAAAAGTATCAGCAGAATTTGAAGTGACAAGACTTCCATGGTTAGAAAAGGGGGAGTGAACGCGGCGGCAACAGATTTTCAAGAAGACGCATGGGTTGCGGTGGGTGGTCGCTTACTAGCAACTTGAAGATATGTGTTGTTGTTGGGCTTTATTAAAGCATCTCGATATACTATTTAGAAAATCCAAATCGGTAATATAATTTTTTTTAAAGTATAGATATAGTTTTTTTTAATTTATATACATTCTAATTATTGTAAAAAATTTATTTAAAAAAGTTAATTATAATTTAAAATATTTCATACATAATTATTTTAACAACTTGATATAATCTAATTGACTTAACAAATTTAAAAATAATCTCAATAATTCTCAATTAATATAATATTAACGAATAAAATTAAAAAAATAATAATTATAAAAAAATAAAAAACACTCGAGTCAATTCGAATAAATCTATCAAATTAATGATATAGATTATAAAACCAAATTTTTTTTATAAATAACAAAAAAATACATAGATTTAAAAAAAATCAAAGGACAAAAAACTAAAATTAGTGAAAAAATAGTATTATAATAAATAGTATTATAATAAATAGTATTTTAGTATTTTTACAAGATACATAGGAATATCATTTTTGTAAAAACAATTAATAAAATAATATTTTATTTAACAATTTCCTTAAAAATGTAAAATAAATATTATTGAAAAACCAAAATAATATATATATATATTTTAACTTTCCATTTAGCTTCTCCATTATAGATGCTTTTATAGATGGAAAATACAGGATCGAATTGCTATATAAAATACGTAGCCTAATGCTGCTGGCTGAAAAGATATAAAGTTTCGAAGCTTTCACACTAGTAATTGTGCTTCCTTAGATTTGGTTTTGATATTTTCATATATATATATATATATACAGTGGCGGAGGGAGGGGGGGGCTGGCAGGGGCCCCGGCCCCTGCAAGGAAATTTTTTTCCAGCCCCTCCCTTATATAAAATAATTAAAATTTTAATCCTTTTAAAATAACTCTTTTAACTTGGCCCTCCTTAATTTTTTTTTCTTACTCCGCCCCTATATATATATATATATATATATATCAGGAATCAACATCAACCCAGGAAAATATCAAAGAAGCAAAATATATATATATATCAGGAATCAACATCAACCCAGGAAAATATCAAAGAAGCAAAATATATATGGATGGTTAGTGGACACGAAAGGAAAGAGGTATGCTTCCATTTGTGTGTCCTTAATTTATTTTGTATTTAACTTTGGAAACCACCATTTGTTGTTCAGCATGTGTGCCAACCAAAAATCAAATCTCAATCCACTATTTTAATTTGTTGCTCATATTTTATATTATTTTTAATATATTTTTTAAATAATTTTTTTAATTTTAAATTTATATAAATTCATACTAAGATAATATTTAAATTCATAATTATTTGGTTAATAAAATTTTAATATTATATTAAATAAACATTTCAATTTAAAAATAAAAATTTAAACTGTTAATGAAGTTTTGTAATATAATTTATATTATTTTTTAAAAAATTAAAGTACCTTTCCTTTATTTCACAAGCAAGAACTAACGTGATCTTTTATATCATAACATAGGACCTTTTCATTTAATATCATTATAGTAGCCATTTTAAATTCAAATATCTATTTCACTTGTACTATAGAAGTTTAACAATTCGCATCTCTTTATATATATATATATATATATATATTGTTTTTGTAACGTGAATTAAGTGCAATATGATTATTGATGTACGTTACAATATATTTGATATTTATGCATAATTGTATTTTGTATATAACGTCAAGGTGTTGGTCCAACATGTATGAGTTGGAGCTCGGAGGTTTATATGAATATGAAGACACCATTTTTAATCTGAAGTCTGAAAGATACCCGTTGTTTTAAAAAAATTTAAAAAAAGTATTTTGTGTTTGATGTTATATTTTGAAACCTTGCGATGCAATTTCATGATATGCTTTTTTTTAAACAATGAAGTACATATATACACGTATGCATTTATATGAGTATGAAGACACCATTTGGCAGTATATGGTTTGTAATGTACTCGACCTACGTGCACCACCAGTTTGGAAGTATGCTTCACTGAGCGTCGGAGGTGCTGCGCCGGCGCTCAAGGTTCTGCCGTTTTCATAAAAGTAGATGCTGTTAAGGCTCTAGGCACGGGGATGCGCCAACGAAAGCACATTGCCTAGAATTCGATAGCGATGGACAGCGGCAGCCTTGCATAGGCAGAAACGAATTCGGCAGGCAGCGTGCAATGGTCTATGCGAGTCGTTGAGCTTGCGACTTGGCATATTTTAAAACCTTGCGATGCAATTTCATGATATGCTTTTTTAAAACAATGAAGTACATATATACACGTATGTATTTATATGAGTATGGAGACACCATTTGGCACTACATGGTTTGTAATGTACTCGACCTACGTGCACCACCAGTTTGTAAGTATGCTTCACTGAGCGTC